TGGGGAATTCTGGGAGTTGAAGTCCACCCATCTTCAGGTTCCCAAGGTCGAGAAACACTGGCCTAACCATTACATTTAACCTTTGGAATAAGAGCCTTGGTAAAAAACCAAGGTTATCGTTCCCTGCTGCGAGCCCCATAGCAGAGTCGAAAATGGACTTGAAAGATGTTTGGAAAGAGCTCCTTTATTTATCCTACCCACAACCTGACCAGCCTGGCATTCACGGAAAGCCCTCGGGAAGGAGAATTTCAGCTTTCCTCCGCTCGGAGTTTTTAACGGAGCATACGCTCCATCTGCTGGTGATTCTCAGCCGAAGCCGAGAGGTTAGCTTCATCCGCTGGGCGTTTTGAACAAAGCTGTTTTAATAGATGGTATGGCCCAGCAGAGAAGTTTTATTCTTGCAGTTGTAACCTAGTTTTTTTTTTCTTTCCCCCCCCTAGCTTTCAGGCTGAGCTTTGCAGGAGAATTGCCTCCGCTTGCTACAGAAGCCCTCAAGTTCTTATGAGGCAGGCGAGAGAAAGATCTTTCTGCCAGAGACAATGCTCTAATATAAAGAAACTGTAGGAGGAGAACCGTGTTTGTTTCCTACAGAAAAAAATCAAAAGGTACCTGGTAGCCTATTTTCCAACTACAGGTAGTCCTCGACTTACAACCATTCGTTTAATGGCAATTCAAAGTTACGACAGCACTGAAAAAAGTGACTTATGATTGGTCCTTGCACTTACAACCATTGCAGCATCCCCACGGTCACAGGATCAAAATTCGGACGCTTGGCAACTGGCATATACAGTATTTACAACAGTTGCAGTGTCTGGGAGGTCACATGATTGCCATTTGTGACCTTCCCAGAGGGTTTACGACAGGCAAAGTCAATGAGGGAAGCCAGATTTACTTAATGACCGCAGTGATTCGCTTAATGACCGTGGCAAAAAAGGTCATAAAATTGGGCATGACTCACTTAAGGACCGCATTTCTTAGCAATGGAAGTTCCAGTCCCAATTGTGGTTGTAAGTCAAGGACTACCTGTAACAAGTTTTATTAACTCACAAAAGTTGATGCCTTTTAATAAAATTTGTAGCCAGAAAAGGGTCTACTGTTCTGACAATTGGCAGGTATCAATTCAAGGGCAGCCTTGAAACAGGTGAGCGAGAGATGCTCAGGGCACCTTCTTCCACTGTTGCTGAGTTGAAGCAGGGATGCTGACCAACTCAGTGTCCCGGTGCCTTGAGTGTCCTAATCTGTGAGTGGAGCATGTTAAGGGCTGGCCAGTCACACTGTCTGAATCTAAACAAGATGTCATCAGAAAATACAACTAATAGGAAAGGGATGGACCGTCCAGAGTAGACCATGTTGGTATAAACCTCATGGCATGGGCTAAATCTCCCTCTGGTTTGCCACTGCAGTGAAATAACCTATCTTTGCCAAGGCAGAGAGAGGGACCAGGTGCAGCTCCTTTCTCTGTCACTTACACATGTCTTCTTTGTCTCTTTTAAGTGAATCGTGGAATCATTGGTTGGGAGGGACCCCGGAGGTCTTCTAGCTCCCTCCCTGCTGAGAGTAGGAAAAGACTTGATCTCCATATATAAATAGTGCAGTAAAACTGCCGGCCTTCTAGGAGCATTGGTGAAGGTAGAAATTTAACTAATGGAGCTTTTTCAGATTGATGGGGGAAGCTTTGCTTGCTAATTCTGTTCGCCTGGTAGTTATTAAGGCACTTGAATTGCCAGAAAGAAATTGGCAACCTCGTGCGTATTTGAGAAAGCAAGAGGGTGAGCGCTGGTCCCTGGAACAGAGGTTCAGAGTACAGGTAGTCCTCGACTTATGATTCGATCAATGACCGTTTGAAGTTACAACGGTGCTGAAAAAGTGACTTACGACTGATCCTCACACATATGACTGTCACAGCGTCCCAGCGGTCACATGATCAAAATTCGGGCACTCGGCAACCGGTATGCATTTACAATGGTTGCAGTGTCCTGGGGTCACGTGATCACCATTGCAGTCTTCCCAGGGGGCTTCCAACAAGCAAGGTCAATGGGGGAAGCTAGATTCGCTTAACAACCGTGGCAAAAAAGGTCATAAACTCGGGCATGACTCACTCAACGACAGAGGTTCCGGTCCCAATTGTGGTCGTAAGTCAAGGACTACCTGTATAGCTAAACCACAGCAACAGACATAGAAGAGCAAAAGGTGAATAGAAAAGGCACATCTGATAACCAATTGCTATTTACAGTATATGGTTCTGTTTGTTCGTGGCTGGCTTGCTATACAAAGACAACAAACTTTATGACATATTAGTATATTACCCGGTTGTCTCCAGGATCCATGAAGTAGGCAGTGATGTTTCGAAGGCCTGGTGCTTGGCCGGACAGCCACTCCACTGCGGTAATGATGACCTGCAGCAGACTTCGCTGGGTGCGGATATGATGGTAGGCTTTGCTGAATGAGTGTGCAATCCCCTGAGGAGGAACAAACCTTGCCTTGTATTGGAAAGCAGGGCTGTGTGAACAGCTAAGACAGTTAGTAAGAGAATATGGATAAACCTGTGAGAATACCTTGAACCAGTGTTTCTCGACCTTGGCAGTTTGAAGATGTGTGGACTCCAACTCCCAAAATTCCCCAGCCAGCATTCTGGGAGTTGAAGTCCACACACCAAGGTTGAGAAACACTGCCTTGGACTGTTGTAAACTCTCCCAAGGGAATAGCTAATGGGGTCTTGCTCACAAAGCCAAGACAAGCCATGTTGCTGCCCCCCCACCAGGTCCTGGCTGCCCCATTCAGTTCCCAGCAGTTTTCGTGCTGCCCCACCTGATAGTAACGGATCTCATGGGGAACGAAGATGGTTTTCTCATTCGTGTCCCGGAGGGTGTCCAGCCCGAGGACCCCAAAGACTCTTCTCTGGACATCTTCCAGTGGTAGCACTAAGAAGGAGCCCCTTCGCTCAGTTTCACGGCGATCGGGGTTCCAGAAGTGGATATTTCCATGCAACTGGACTCGGGGGACATGGATTGGCTTGTCATCCAAGGCGGCTGAAAAGCTGGGGGGGTGTTGCAAGAGGGAAGAGAGACTTTGGTGAGGCAACATCTGGGGGAAGATACAACAGAGCAGCAGCAGACCTGGAAGGGGAGGGCCCCATCTCATAATTCACACCATAGGAAAGCGCAAAATGGGCTGTGTCAGGAGTAGCCTCAGTATGACCATGTAACGGAGAGTGCTGCTGTGGATTGGGGTTTCCACTGTAAAACTCCCAGAATGAAAAACGAATCTGATTCCTCTTTGAAATGGTCTGTATTTGGCCCTGACCCTGTTGGGGAACTCCGGGAGCTGAAGCCCACACATCTTCAAATTCACAAGATTGAGAGACACTGCTCTAGGAGCTCAAGATAGGTCCTGTTCCTCTCATATTTTCCCCACCACAAATCTGTGAGGGGAGTGGGGCTGAAAGACTCTGAGTGTCCCAAGTCACCTAGCCAGCTTCCGTGGCTGAGGGTGGGTCTTGGAGACCATCTAGCCCAACCCCTTGCCCAGGGCTGGAATCCACTGTCCCATCATCTCAGAGAGATGGCCATGTAGCCTCTGTTTAAACTCTCCAGTGAAGGAGAGTCCCCTGCTTCCCATGTCATCCTATCCCACTGCTGAACCTTCTTACAGTTCAGAAATGCTTCCTGATGCCCAGCTGAAATCTACTTCCTTGTCATTTACACCCCTTGTTTCTGGGACAATTCTTCTATGTGACAGCCCTTCAGATAGTTGGAGGCAGCAATTTGGTCTTCTGTTCTCCAGACTGAACATACCCAACCCTTCCAACTCTTCCACATAAGGGTTTCCTTCTTGGTTGCTATCCTCTGGACACGCTCCATTTTGTTAGTGTCCAGAATGCACACCTTCAGTCCTACCACCATAGCTGTCACCTTGACTTGTTGGATCACACCTGCAGACCCTCCTGCCTGATCAGTTTTTTGATGGGATACCACTAGGAATCCCTGGGCTGAAAGCTAGATTGCAAAAATTCCGGGAAAGAGCCATGGCCAGCCACATCCGTCTTACCGGAGGAGAACTGTCTTGTCACCAGGAATCAAACTTGAGGGAAGGGAGTATTTCCCTTTTCAAAAGATCCACATGTGGAATAAGTTCATCCCACCCTTAGATACCTTAAGTGAAGAAGAGACTCTAGGTCTGCTTGTCTTATATCCTTTTTTATTATAGGCAGAAGTTATGCGTGCTTGCACGGGGTGAAGAAATAAACCATTTGAAGCTTTGCATTTACAGGGATAACATTATACTTTACACCACACAGCCTGTCCCTAAAAATGCTGAGACGGGTCTTTATTACTCATAAGAAATGAATGTATGAATAAATGAATGAATGAATGAATGAATGAATGAATGAATGAATGAATGAATGAATGAACAGGGAAACTGCCATCCAAGCTGTAATGCTGCCTAATTTTTAAGCCATCCATTCCTAGAAATTCTACAGCTCAAAACACTCTGTGTTGTTCCCATATCTTGAAAATACCACATTTCCCTCTGGCGGGGACCCAATCCTTCTCCCATGGAAAGGAAACAGCTCTGGGAGAGGTTCTTACCTGACTCCTTGCATGTCCATGAAAAGGATCTGGTTTAAGACATAAGGGGCATCATCTTCTGTGCAGGCCACATAGCGGAGGAGAACATCTCCCCGCTCAGGGGCAATGACATTATATTCCAGAAGGGCAATGTATGCACTGACTTTCTTCTTGTCTCCATGGGCATCAGTATCCTGCCACAGAAAGGAGACCTGTCATCATAGACTGGCTGTTTGGTCATTTCCTTGGGTTTCATAGAATCTTAAAATCATAAACTTGGAAGGGACCTTAGAGAGGCCTTGGACCTTAGAGGTCCAACACCATGCTCAGGGTATGATTCACTAGATCAGTGTTTCTCAAGCTTGGCAACTTTAAGATGCATGAACTTCAACTCCCAGAATTCCCCAGCCAGCTTAAAGTTGCCACGGTTGAGAAACACTGCACTAGACTATCTCTGAAGATCACCATTCAGCCTCTGAAGACCTCAAGCGAAGGAGAACTTGCCACTTCATAGGGACATTCCTCTTGATATCTAGCTGATGCCAATTCCTTATAATTTTACCCCACTGGCTCTGGTTCTGCCTGCTGGGGCAAGAGAAAATAAGTCCACTCTTTCTTCCGTGGGGCCCTCTTCAAATGTTGGAAGATGGTTGCTATATCTCCTTTCAGTTGTCTCTTTTGTAGCCTAAACATACCCAGATCCTTTAACCAATCCTCCCAAGTCCTTTGCATTTGAAATATTCATGGATTATGTTCACACCCATTGTTTTGACCCCAGTTTGTTAAATAAACCATAATGTTATGGATTCATTAATGCTAAGCCACAGAGCAGGGTGGGGTTCATTCTATGGCTGAAGCCAAAACCGAGTGATGCAGTTGATGGCTCAGTTTGATGTCCAAATCAAGTCATGGGCATTCTGCTCCCATTTTGTTTGTGGGATTAATGGATGTACAGACTTGAGGCTGGAGCTGGCGGGGGGGGGGGGGCAACAACCCGTCCCACCTTTTAACGGCAGGAGCCTTTTGCATAACCAGAGCCAGGGGGGAAACCCGTGACGGAGGGCCAAACACGGA